TTGACCTACTCAAGACAAAGGCTTTTCAAGAATTTGAAAAGAATTCCCAAATTCTTGAAAAGCAACAAGCTTCGGAAACCTATGAACTTTGTTCCATTCACTAAGTCAATATGACAAGGCCAGAGAATATCAGGAGAAATAGAATTTCAACTTTTGATAATTCGGCTAATCGCTCGGTGCTCTACTTTTCAAGTTTAAATCGCTTGCCTGAATAAAGAGAATATTTGAACTCAAATAGATGATCGATGTTGTACATTCTTAGGAAAATTCCTCTTCGTAAGAGTGGGTACAGTTCATTATTCACCTTTCCCTCCCCTCCCTAAAAAAGGTATCATTTGTTGATCATCACTCACATGAAGCCAAACGACATCCTCTCGATCATAACATCACGTGATTGTTACAATATTTCCGTCATATTTAGATAAACACCCTTAAAAGATAAACGGAGAGAGCAATGTGTTGTCTTTTAAGGGCACAACACTTATCAACCCAGCCGTTCCTCTTATTTACCAACTTTGTTTTCGATCACGCAAATCGCAGTAACTGGAAAATGAACAGCTCATGAATAGATAGTCATCACGCCTAAATAGCTTACCGTTTCAAGACAGAAGCTCCAATTCAGTACTGTAACAAGTCTTGATTGTATTTTTGGGTTAACAATTCAATGATTCTTTCAAAACAATGTACACTGAGACCGGATGTTACCTGCAACCAAAGTGAACTGTTTCATTTTTGCATGCTCACATCCGTCATCGGTAAAAAAGTTAGACGTACAAAACCGAAATACATTTACGTATATTGGATAGCACCGCTTTGAAAGTAGAATAACAAATATCCGTCTCCCCTTACCTGTCCTTCATTGGAAGGAACATAATGAATTTCATTTAAGCTTTTGCAATGGACACTCGGAATTCATAGTTTTCAAATAACGGTTGGAATTCTGCGCGAGGTTGGTGCTTTAGTAGAAAACAAATCCATGGTAAAAAGTCGGGAATTTATCAAAATTATTTTTTTTGTCTCTTGTCACGCCATCAAACTGAAAGTAAACGGACTGAATCGACTTAAAGCCAAGAATCATCAAGAAAATTTATACCCATCAGGCGAAGTCTTTCTTTCAAGTCAATTGTTTTTCACTGAATAGGCAATCGCCCAAATTTCGCACAAAAATTGATGGGGTGTAGTTTGAGGGGGGCCAATTTTGTTCCCTTACATAGACTGCAAATGAAATGACCGTAAAGTAAATAAGTATTGTTTCTTTACGCCATGCGAGGATGAAATAGAATTTCAACTTTTGTTAATTCGGTTAATCGCTCGGTGCACTGCTTTTCAAATTTAAATCGCTTGCCCGAATATAAAGAGAATATTTGAACTCAAATAGATGACCGATGTTGTTCATTCTTAGGAAAATCCCTATTTTTGTAAGAGTGGTCCAGGTTCGTTATTCACCTTTCCCTTCCCCCCTCAGGTATCATTTCTCACTTACATGGAACGAGATCCTCTCGACCATCACATCGTTTGATTGTTAAAATATTCCGTCTTATTTAGATTTACACCCTTAATAGATAAACAAAGATAGCAATGTGTGTTGTTTATAAAATGTACAGCACTTATCAACCCAGCCGTTCCTCTTATTCATCAACTTTGTCTTCGATGACGCAAATCGTAGTAATTGGAAAATGAACGGCTCATGAAGAGATAGTTAACTTACCGTTTCAGGACAGAAGCTCCAATTCAGTACCGTAACAAGTCTCGATTGTAATTTTGGGTTAAAAATCCAATGGTTCTTTCAAAACAATGTATACTGAGACCGGATGTTACCTGGGACCAAAGTGAATTGTTTCATTTTTGCATGCTTACATCCGTCATCGGTAAAAAAGTTAGACGTACAAAACCGAAATATATAATTTCATCGGATGGCGCCGCTTCAAAAGTAGGTTGACAAAAATCCGTCTCTCCCAATTAGTCCATCTGGGCTAAACACATTGACACTTAAGTAAAGGTTTTACTTACTTATCTTTCTTTCAGTGGAAGGAACAAAATGAATTTCATTTAAGCTTTTATAATGGACATTCGGAATTCATATTTTTCACATAACGGTTGGAATTCTGCTCGAGGCTGGAACGTTAGTAGATAGCCCTTCGGCTAACTCAGAGGATGTCGGAATTTAATCTTCAGAAGGGGTAGCTTGAAAGAAATCATCATGTCCAGTGTCGGTTAAAATACCAGTTAATTCGTTGAATTTAGTCAATGTTTGGTAGGTTTAGGTGGGGTTAAAAACGTTAAACCGACTTTGCCGTTTATGAATTCCTCTCAATTTCTATCGTACATATCAGAATTCTCTTCCGCCAAGTCATTTATCAATCATTCACAACTGAACGAGGTTTGAAAAAGTATTAAAAGTTATCGAAATATAAACGATGGTATTTTTCCTTTATATATCTCATTCAATGGAAGACGTCACAGTTTCTTTTCAAAGAGGAGGAGGGGGGGGGGTGGGACAGTGAGATTTCTTTATGATGTTAATTGGTTTTTAATTTTATGATAATTTTCTTTTGAAGCTTTCATAACGATACTAGTGTTGTTTGGATTTTTAAAACATTCAGCATTGATGCAAATTATCTTTTGAAGTTAGAAACGTTTCTTATTCAATTTGATGAAGGCAAAGTGACAAAGTAAGAAAAAAATCCATGGTGAAAAGTCGGGAATTTGTCAAAATTATTTTTTTCGCTCTCTTGTCACGCCATCAAACTGAGAGTAAACGGACTGAATCGGCTTAAAGCCAAGAATCATCGAGAAAATTTATACCAACCTGGCAAAGTCTTTCTTTTGGTGTCAATTATTTTCCACTGAATAGGCGATCGCCCAAATTTCGGACAAAAATTGATGGGGTGTAGTTTGAGGGGGCAAATTTTGATCCCTTTCATAGACTGCAAATGAAATGACCATAAAGTAAATAAATATTTTTTTTTTTTCGCCATAAAAATGATAAGTCGCCTGTTGCGTTCTGGCAAATAATTATTTGACGACTCAGGACACAAACAGTCACTTGATACCAACATTTTTATTCATTTATGATTTCTTCCTCAGCCAGCCATTTTAATATTTAGGAATAGCATTGAAGGTCATGTTGATGACTGGCGAAAAGTTTCATTTTTCACAGGTTTTTTCCTTTCGAGGTAAAACGTCAATACTATTGTATGCAGTAATATTTTTAATTTTGGATTTTATAGCGTCAAGCGAAAATTGTTAACGGATATCGCCCTGCGCAATCTTCCGTCGAGTGTTAGAGACATATTAATTTTGATTTTCAAATCGTTTCCAGTTCTGTTGTATTCGTATTAACGGCTCGTACATAACGGATTAGTTTGGAATTAAAAAACCCCAATTCCTTAAAATATTATCTGATAATTTATTAGTTCTTGTTTTCACTGTTTTTGTTAAAAAAGGCTTTGATCACAGTTTTCATTTTTCCTTCAAGTTATCAAAAATTGGTAATAACAGGTTCACCTACTCAGACCTACTCACGATGGTGACCAAAGGGATCTTCGGTTTCTTGTAAGCAGCTTCCCCAGCAGTTATGACAATGAAACATCATGGTTTGCTCCTAAATATTTGTTAAATGCTGCTATAAAAATCCTCCCCGCCACCTCCCCCATTGAAAAAATATACCCATCCCAATTATCGAAACTACCGGAAAGTGAAACCTCCGGTAAATTCCGAGTGATCAGAAGTACCTTACATTAGGAGGAAAAATCAATCGTTCTTTGGAGGAAGTTTCGATGAGTTTCAGGAAAAGCCTTTTCATAGTTTCGGAATCTATGGAAAAAAGTTGACCTATTCAGGAAAAGGCCTTTCAAGTCAAATTCGTTCACCAAGTTTTCGAACATAATTACTCACCTCGGCCCTCACATAGAAGACATTAATAGATATATAATCCAAGGAACTGCTCATGGATTTCGTGATTATAGTTTTTTCGTGATGTTTTGGCAGATGTTCAAATTGCATCTACCTACGCTGGTCTAATGACCAAAACACTTAAAATTTTCACTCACAAGTTGCCCGTAAATGACGAAGTTCTCCCTTATTCAAGCAGTTTCATATACATATTTGCATAAATCGCTCAGAAGTTGCGCGACATTTTTAAACTGTGTATGCCTGCCGCAGTCTATCACAACCAATGACGTGTTTTGAAGGACTTTCAATCTTTCAATCTCGATGATTTGATTTAGACCTTCCTTTTCCTGAAATAGGCTAAAATCAGATTTCTGAGCTAACTGTTTCTGTATATGTTGTTGCTCAGCCCATAAAAAATTCGTTTTAGCAGCTGTGTATAAACTCAAAAGTAGAGAAACCATGGTGCGGCTCACTTTTCAGGCATGTTTTCCCATCTTAGCCGACACTAAGTTGATCCCAAAGACCATGAGATGCTTATGACGAATCTCCTGGTCGATCTGACTTGACGCGAATCACTCTGTGACCAAGGACTTGGCCTCACTCCTAGCTGACTGATAAACTGACCAACTTACGGATAGATTGACCGACATGCTGACTGACTGACTGACTGACTGACTTACAGACTGACTGACTGACTGACTGACTGACTTACTGTCTGACGGACTGATTGACTGAATGACTGAATGGCTGACTTACAGACTGATGGACTGACTTACTGACCGACTGACTTACTGACTGACTTACTGACCGACTGAGATACCAACGTATTTACAAGTACGACAATGATAAGGATAAAAAACAGTTTTGACAAGAACTGATGTAACGAAAGACAACTTAAAAATTGCCTGCAGTCAAAGTTTTCACCGATGGCATATGCATTCGGTAGATAACCAGAAAAAAAACAGTAAAATTTGTTAAGGCATGACTTTTTTGACCCTCTTTGGTCTTCGAAATTTAGGTGAAATCTCCTTAACTTTATTTCCTTACAAATTATTCTCTCATAGCTTTAGCCTCTCCTCAGTTGATTTATATTTATTTCTTAAGCTTCAAAATTTGGATTCGAAAGTTTGAAGCGTATACGTAGCGTCTCTTTTATCTTCTACATCGTTTTCAAACCTCTTGTTAGCAATTCCTTTGGGGCACACTGAGGACAGGATTTTGAGGTAGCCTCCCCGGTAATTCTTGTTGCTTATCCCATATATGAACGGATTCACACAGCTGCTGACGAATACCAGAAGAGAAAGGAAATGATGTAATTTGGTATCCAGTCGCGCTTTTCCCATTACTGTCAAAGCGTAGTTGGTTTGACTTGGCGCGAAACAAATGATGAGCACGAAGCAAGCGGCGCCGACCATCCGCGTCATTTTCCCGCGTAATTTGGCCTTGCTCTCAGCTGAGGCGACATTGGACCTGCTTGCCTTACAAACCATGTGAATGAACAGGCACAACATGGTCAGGCTTGGAAGCACCATTTTGAACAGGACTTGAATAGTTCCAACAACAGCACGGACTGTATTTTGGCCCCAGAGAAACTTCCATTTGCATCGGCGGCTAGGTGAATTCGAAGGAACGAAAACGACTTCGAATGGGGTTGTAATGACTAGGAGGAGCGACCATAGCCACACGAGGAAGATGTAAACGAGGGTTCGCTTTTTGTTAAAGACTTCTTGGTATTGAAATGGCCTGACCACTGCATACCACCGCTCTGTTGCCAAAGCCATACAGATGTATGCGGAGAAGACCACTAACTGAAACAGAATCACACGACTCCATATGAATCGGCAGAAGATGTCACCAATGACGTGATTTGTAGGATAAGGAAACACGTTACCGAGGACAAAAGCTGGGTTGGTGATGAGAAGTAAGGCAGTCATAACATCGGATACGGCCAGGGACAGAATCAGTATGTTGTATGATTTCCTTAGAAGTTTCTTGTTCTCGACAAAGACGAGAATAACCAGGGTGTTTCCTATCATAGCGACGATAGACAGAATGGAGTATGTAAAACGTGTGAAGTTGGTTATTCCAGGTAGAGGCTGGCTTGATGATGGAGTCGATGAGTTAGAGACATTCATACTCGTCTTCTGGATAAGGGTACCCCACTCTACTATCTTGGTTCTTTGCAAGTTCAATCAATTCGTACTTACTTTTCAAAGTATTTGGGTAATCTGAAGATAAATGGAAACATACGCACATCTTAATTTGATCATTTACAACATTTCTTCGTTCGAAATTTCTGGTCTGTTACAAGCAGGTTAGTTGTTATAGATAACTGATTTGAGATGACGGGGGTGGATGCAACAGGGACTGCAGGCATTAATTGTGGCACGACTAATCTAACAAGGTCATGGAAGTGTAAGCGCCAAAGCAAAAGATCTTTTGTTGTGGGATTAAATTAGGCACAGCCACGCGGCAAGTAGCGACCAACATTTTGGCAAGTCTTGGGCTAACCTCTCATCCACAACATAGGAAAAAAATTCCTTTGGAACAGCTGTGTTGAGAAATGGTTCACTCTCGGCGGTCCTTGAAAGGGATACAAGGTAAAGCATAAGTTCATGATACGCGTTGCGGTTAATGGCCAATAAACACTTTCCCCTTCGATATTTCAAGCTAAGCCTCATTAGACGTATATGTATATCCATACTAATATTGATTTCAATACATCTTTTTTATGCATTTGATTCCAGTCTGCTTCGGGATCTCGGTGAAACATGAGATTATTACTTCTCGTCTTCTTACATTCAAGCAACATATTTTGATTATTTTGATTATTTTGATGCGCTAATTTCCTCTCGACTAATCTTCTATCTTTCCTCAACGGGACAAGTTTTGTCCAAGTTCCCATCGAAGTTTAATCGGCAATAAATTCAAATTGTACGAGAACTGGTCAAAAAGTAATGAAGGAAGTAGAACACTCGATCACACTGATCTCCATGATAAATCAGGCACAGGATCAGTGAATAAAAAAAATAGACCCGTAAGCAGAGTAATCTGCGAAATAACAACATTCGGAGAAGTTAGTCGGATGAACCCCATCTAGGGCCATCAAAAAGCGATAAACTAAACCTACCAAGTAAGCTGAAACTGCCTCGCTTTGCCTATGATACTCCCTAGAACATTTCGTTAACTCTGGGTTTTCGCATGAAATCCTGATGGCAGAAGTTCGTTTATTGTGTTTTTGTCGCTTTTTTTCGCACGACTTTTATTGCGGATCGAAAGTCGCTGATTTGCGTTGGCAAAGTGACTTTGTTTTTAGCGATAAAAGAAAAATCAATCTGCATTTAGCAGCAATTTTTAAGTAATTTGTTTGTTCTTAATGGAGTTGGCCTCTTTTGCGTTTCTGTAAATGCCTACATTGTTTTTCTCCGCTTAGTGCAAGAGTACTTCTTAAATTTTTGATCTTCCTGATAATGATCATAATGGTTATTTGCTAGTTCTCAATACGTCATGAAAATCTCAACATAATTAAAAAAAGCTTTGGGATCAATTTTTGAAAAGACTTAGTCAGAGTCCAATTTTGAATTCAAGATGAATCAAAGAACGCTTGCACGATGATTATGGCTTTCAACAACTGATTTCTAACACGAAATAAAAAGGATCCCCAAAATTTATCAAAACTCTTCTACCAGAGTGTATGGATACATTTCAATCACTGTTTAAGTGTCTCCGGTCGGTACCTGTCATCCTTTCTACCAGAGATTTCGTCCCACCTGGTGTGAAATATGATTTTTCATAATTTAGGGTTTTACAATCGTTTCACTAATGAAAAACGGATGAATTTTTAAGCATATTTTACGCAGACGTCAGGATTGCTGTAATGGCTCGAATCTGCAACAGCAGGAGTTTTTAATCAATATATCTCTTTAGTTTTAGTTTATTGTTGTGTTGAATTAACAATTTCGTCTGAGAGTCTTTTCAAAGTAATAACCTGATAAAGTATGCCATCCTTGACTGGTCATAAACAAATAACGACTTGAAAGTCACCATTTTCCAATCTTTATTTACAGAATATGCAATTAAGAAATCTCGCCATCGCTGCTCATTTGACAAGAAATGTTATGGGAGAATAAAGTCTTAAATGATTTCAAACCACATTGAAATTTTTGTTGCTATACCATGTTCGCCGTGGATCAATTTTCAATTGTGTGTCGAAAGTGTATGCGAGATTGTAGTGGTTTTGATTTACTCCGCTCTGTAATTGCCGTCCAAAAAATTTGCGCCAACCTCTCAACTAATCAGTTGCAAAACTAAAACAAATCACGACTTGATCGGCCGCGTTTCCGCGTTTTGGGCAGTTTGTTTTTTTTTTTTACCATTATTATTATTTGTTATTTTGAGTTTCTGTCTTTTGATTATTTTGTCGCTGTGATTACTATGGTTTTGGTTCCACGACATCCAATCAATAAGCGCTGCATATATAGAGGACTATACACCAATGGACAATCGCAACTACTTTATGATGCATTTAGTTGTTTCTTTATAAAATGAGACGAAAAAGTTCTCGTTCCTTTTCGACACTATTACTTAACTTGTTATATGCCAGCGGATTCCCTTGCTCTAAAAATTAATAGTCATCGGTTGTTGAGTGATCAAATGGCCGTGAATTAATTTTTTGTATAGATTTTTGACACGAAAAAATCAGTTTCCCTCGCAGAAACGTAGTTGAGAAGAAATTACTCGCTGTGTTATTAACCCCACGGAATGCCTTAAAGTAACTCGGATCTGAATTTGAACAAAACTGTTGTCAAATTGACGACGAATAATGAAAATGATATGAATATCCTTATTAACTCGCTCTTTTCATCCTTGCGAAAACCACGCTTGAATTTCTTGGCATTAGTGTGCTAATCTACAGGATTTTATAAAGAAAAAACAGAGCACTCTTGACAACCTTTTCCTTCCATCTTTACGTTACAATTTGTCCGTTGATGGATTTCTTAGCGAAGGGCACGAGTGTCTTTGCAACCACACCAAAATTACGTCTTTAAAACACTCGCAAGAACCTTTTCGGTGCGAGACCTATTTTGCTTGACAACTACTTAGTCGGTATCCCGAGTAAAATTATCATTTATCCGCGATAAAACCGTTCGTTTGAAATTGAGTCAGTCTACCATGACAGCATGTCCTCTTTGGTTCCTCTTCAAATAAGTCCAGAATTGATTAATACATATCGGATAATCAAGTTATTCCTGAGCTCCGATAGAGAGTTCCCATTGTACCTGGTTTTTTCTTCTTTTACAGCACAAATCGCTGGCCTTCTCTTTCTTTGATTCAGCTTTTTATCTCCTTCTAAGCGCCCATTCATGTGGATCTTATCAGTTGGATATAGCGATTTTTCGTTGCCTTCAATCTCGACTTTCAAATTCCTGTCTTTCTGGTATCTGAAAACTTGTAGTCTTTCTTTTTTACCGAAAAAAGACACTAAACGTCTCCAACCTGGAACTGTCTGTTTTTGGCGTTGATGTACAGGCAATTTTTTCTTCATAGTTTTTAGTCTGTCACTCGTAACGGTTTTGATATACAATGAAAATATTTGGGCGGAGAACTTATTTTGAGCCAAAAGCAAACAAGTATTTCTCAATGACATCATTGAACTAATTAGTGAACTTTCAACAAAACAAACAATCAAATATAACAACGCCCAGATACAGAGGCACTTAACTGTACTGCGTGACCGAATAACCAGATAGGTAGGTAGCTATACACTTTATTGTAACTGGAAACGGCCTGGCTGAAAATGGCTTTCGGCCTGAGTAACGAAAAAAAGTCGTTATTAAGAGCAAATGGCGAACAGAGCACATTTCTGATGACTTAAAGTCTCTAATGCTATGGTGCAGATCTTATTTACTACAAAGAGTCGGGTTTTTTTCTTGATGGTCGTTCTTAATTGTTGTCAATTATTTAATTAGTTTCCATGGGAATCCTAAACCGAACAAATAAACCATCGACTGGTCAATAATAACCTATTTTTATCGCAAGGAGATCAGATGGACCCGGTACAAATGCATCATTCATTTATAAATACTGTTACAAAACATGATCTCGGCCACAGTAGTAAAATACTTTTTTTTGGATAGGGAGCATAATTAAAGCCAAAGACTTTAGTCTCCGTTATGGCCCTATGAAATACTAAAATAGAATCACACAATAGTTCAATGTTAAATTATTTTAAAAGCTATAAGATTCCATGAACTCAGAAACTGTGAGACGTAAATATCCTCTTGATAAAATCAAATTAGGTAACTTCGTTCAGATTTCTCGAGAGTGAAAAAGCAGACCAAATCATTGAAATTTTCCCACAGTTTAACAGCATTCTAAGAAAAAATTGCTTCATGCACTTGTAGCTGGTGTGTGGAATCGGAAGGAGATAGGATAACTTTGACTGGTGTTCCTTTTCTCTGGGAAAGAATTCATAATCTGCGAATCGATCTTTTCAGTATTTATATTGAATACGACATCCAGTTTTATTTCAGATCTCACACGCTATTATTAATATTCTGTGGAAATGATATGAAGACTAGGTTTTCTCTCACATGTGCGGGGAATAGTCTTGAAAGGGTTATCATTTTTTTTGCATTTAAAATTTTCTTATTGTTTTCACGGTTGAATAAGAGATTTCTTTGAAAAACATTAGTTGTGGAGGAAGATCATTTAAGGCAAGTTTCCTTCATAAATAATATATGCGCACATACTTTTTTTCAGATTTCTCGTTGGTGATGTGGATGACATATCATCATGATAACAGGTTTTTTGACATTTTGAGGATCATGTTCCTTCATATTCTGTCTCAGTAGTAGAAGTCAGAAGATAAGTGACTCGTTGCTGACAAAGATTTGCTCATTACCTTTATATTTTTTAATGATTTGAAGGATTAAACAACGGTGCCTAATGTATGTCAACTTTCTTTTCCAATTAGTAAGTAGTTTTTGCTTGAGAAAAACTTCGAAATTAGACCATAGGAAATTAGAGACAATATTTGATTCCATTAGAAAACATGACAATCAGAGACTTCGTTACAATAAGATACCTGTTTGGAAGAGGTCTTTTTTTTTAATATCGTGAGAATTTTTTTGCT